GCTGCCGAAAATTAGTTCACCGCTCAGGATTCACTTTCACGTGGTGTGACGCTCTGCGTATTATCCCGCTCTATGCGTGTGTGTGCTCCGCTCAGTAGCTCATGGCCCATGTGAGTGCTCCACTCATATACCGTTCATGCTCATCGGAACAGCAAAGTCCACTGACAGGAAACATCTATGTAGTACAGTATTGTTTCTGTCTGCAATAGCCCTACTGTGCTGTAACAAGATGTGGTAAATGGGCAACTCTGGTAACACTGCCCTCTCATTCATTTATCTGCTAACTGTTATGCTCACATGTCCTCTGATAATAATAGCTTTCTAGGATTAAACATTATTTGGATAATTGGTAAAAAAAAAAATATATATATCTTAATAGCCCTACTGTGTGTTAGACCTACCTGAAAAGCTAAAAAGCAATATATTTCATTTGTAGGCCTATCATGATTTTTTAAATTTGGGCTATCATTAGTAATTTCTTTATTTGTTCTTAATTTATTATTAACTGCTTAGCCTCCTTGTCATTTTTTATTAAATTCAAAGTTTTAAATCAAGCTATCTCGTGCTACTGCAACAAAATTACCCAGCTGTAAAATAAGTCTATTCTACTAGGTACTTATACTATATTGACTGGGTTAAATAGAATTGCATTTCTAAAAAGAGACTAAAATACAAGTTTTCATCGACTAAAACTAGACTAAAATAGTCATGGATAATTCTGACTAAAATAAGACTAAAATGCTCAGACTTTTAGTTGACTAAAACTTGACTAGACTAAAAAGAGTATGAACTTGACTAAAACTAATAAAAACTAAAATGACAGCTTCACACAAAAACTAGACTAAAACTAAAATTAAAACAGGCCGCCAAAAACAACACTACTGGTACTGTACTATAATATACACAAAGAATATCTGCCGCTATATCGATATCGGCCTTTTTTTTACTCCCAAATATCAGTATTGGTATCGGCCCCAAAAAACCCATATCGGTCGGGCTCTAGTATTTACATACATAATTATTCAGGTGCATGTGTAATAACTTGCGATAACTTGAGGCTACAGCAACACTTCGTCGTCGTCGTCTTGTCTGATGCACTCAACCAAGCGTTCAAACCACGACCTCGCCCCACCCCCCAACCATTCGAATTTCCGTAATTATTTTCCAATTCAAATTTTGCAAAGAAATAAAATTAAGTAGACATGACCTACTAAATTTTTTTTCTTTGCAAAATTTGAATTCTTTTAAAAATGCTTTTTTCTTGGTGATGCAGCTGTCCTGATAATGAAATTGAATTTTTTTTTTTACAGTTCTTCCCCCCCTAAAATATCACAATGATTTTTAATATAGAAATTAAAATACGCTCATCATAGAAAAGTGTATTCAAGTAATTGTGTAAGTTGCATTTAAAAATTTTTAAATTGATTAATGATAAATTATTATTTCATTATAATTAATAAAAAAATTAGCCTTGTGTTATTGACCCATGCTGTAATTTAGGCAGCACAGTTTCCTGTTGCACTTTTACAGTACAAAATTTGATTACGCCCAGGTGTGTATCTTGTGTTTTGCGGTGTCCTCCTGTTATTGAGATTTTTATTGACATTTATATCAGTCATTTTCTCATCTCACAAATGGTGAGCCAAATGTATTAAAGCCTATGTCATTACCTCGTATGTGGATGAGTCAGAGCCATTTCCGCTGTTTCATTATAAATAATTTTACACCCTGTCCATTTTAAGCTCCAAGCTTTATGAATCACCTGCCTTTGAATACTAGGGAGCATGTTCTGCTGCCTCCTCGCAGAAAAGACACAGCTGAATCACGCAGAGTGAATCACGTGTACAGATGAATCCTCTCCTCTTTAATAATTGAATAATGAACTCCGTGCCAGAGAGAAGCGCAATCATTTTAAGTGTGTCGCATTCATGACCCCCTAAGTGGCACTGTCTAATTATAACTGCGGTGGATATTTTTAAAGGGGTATTTTTATGCATGTCCTTTATTATACTCATTTAGATAGAGGTGTGTGTGTGCGAACACTGCAAAACTGGAGCTTGTCTGATAGTGATGTGGCACTGAGCTGATTGACTTCCTCTTTCTCTCCCTCTTTTTTTCCAATGCAGGCAGATCAGCTGACTGAGGAACAGATCGCTGGTGAGTGAACTCTGATGGTCAGCTTCAGAATGGTCACTAATGCCACTAAACCTGTCACACATAGCACCATCAGTACACACACACAGGCAACCTCAAGAGCATGTTATGTTCTTATTTCCTTAACTTCATTAAGGATGGGCTGACAGATTAATTCACTGTCCCTGATCTTTCTTGAGATTCACTGTGAAGTAACATCGGTCTTATCACACTACAATGCCACAATATGACTTAAAATGATGTTTGAGTTTCCCTCTTTTCTTCACTTTCAAATGGCTTGTAAAAGTGCCATGCACATTTTACTTTCATTTTCAAATTAGCGGCAATTCGACGTTGATTCAATTCAAGCAACAACAACGTCAAACTCAGAACTTTTATTAACAAAACAAATAAAAATACACCATGTATGCCTAAATAAAATAACAAATTACTTGGGCTACACAAAGTTTAAATGGGTATATAAAACTGAAAATCAGCAAACACTGTGGAACCAAATAAATAAGAAACATAGAACGTTGCCGCGGTAGGCAAATGATGTAACCGGTGTTGCGGCTTAACATCGGTATAACCGAAAACACCGTCTATTGCAGCAAGCCTACTAAACAAGAGAGCAGCTATGTTCTGATTGGCACACTACTGTGCTATTTTCACTTTTTGTAGTATGCAAATTTTCTTTATACACTGAGTGCCTAGATGACCAACTTGCAAAATGTGCAAGAAGGTTAAGCATATGCATACGCGAGGGTGCACACTACCTGATTTTTGTTCTTTAGTATAAGAGAGTACAAATATATTATGTCATAACCTCTGGAGAAAAATAGCGCAGACACAGGACAAAGATGAAAATGTCTAGAGTGCACGTGTCGACTGCATGTGTCAAATAGAGTATACTTTGAAAGGCTATGTGTTTGACTTAGGGCTGCACGATATATCGTTCAGCATTGATATCGCGATGTGTGCATTAGGGATGTAACGGTATGAAAATTTTATATCAGGAATATAGTGACCAAAGTTATCACGATTATCAATATTATCACGGTTTTGTTAAAATGAGATGAAAACGTTCAAAAAGAACTGATACACACACTGAAAACATTTCAATAAGTTTTATATTTGAAAATCAACAAAAAAACGAATACAATTAGCATTTTTCGTCAGTGATAGAAATATGATTTAAGACGGTAGTGTAAGCAAGTTTCATTTGAAAACGTTTAATAGTAAATAAGACAATTAGACAATATTTGAATAAAATAATAATAATAATAATAAATATTTATTTGCAACAACTGATGGAGTGCTGAATGCTGCACCCATGCGCAGCGTTGTCAAGGTAACATCTGGTCAGTCATTCCCTTCGCCGAGGGAGTTCCAAACGCTTATACGAGACAGTAATATCCTGCACCCTTCAAAGAACACACTTCAAGGGCTCTGCCCTTCGAAGGGAGTAGGGCATAGGGATGCTCACTTCTGTTTGGAAGTCGCCGCATGTCTCTTGTATCACTGCAGAGGCGTGGACGCAGCTCTCTCGTTTCATTCAAATGCAGCTTGCCGTCTTGCGCCTCAGTTTTTGATTGTATTGAAAATGAAATCAGAGGAGTTGAACGTTCGTTGGTCTTGGCTCAAAGCCACTTGCTGCAAACTTTTCTTCACGGAAGCTTTGCGTTAAACAAGTGAGATAATGAAATATTTAATCTCTAATCAATATTTTTTGTCCAATTATTTGCCCAGTTAGTTTTGGTATTGAGTTAAAAGTTACCTTGCATTCGCTATGTAACAGTGTGTGGTGGTCACGAAGATGACTGAGCAAATTTGATGCGTTTTCCCCTTTTGCAGCGACTTTCTTCTTGCAAGATCAGCAGACAGGGTGACCGTCCTCGATTAAATTGCCTTCAGGACTCTTGTAAAAGCCAAAATATGACCAGACCACCGATTTGGTCCTCTTAGATGGCTGGAAAATCTCCCGAGCGCTGTCACTGCTTTCCGTCTTTTCCTCTCGTGCAAAAAACAACAACAACACTGCATGCTGCTTCTGCGTCAGACTGATGCTGGCTGGACAGGATTTACCGTGAGGTTTCAAAATTGCGATAATCAAACACAGTTTTGATGATAATTAAATTTTAAACGGTAATACTAACCGTCAGGGCATTTTATCGTGATTTATCGTAAAACCGGTAATCGTTACATCCCTAGTGTGCATCCGTGATAGTCACATCGCAGGATGTGCGATGTTTAGTATAGACTACTGATTGTTATATTTATACTGATTGTTTTCGTGCTCACACACAGACACCGCGTCTACACCGGACGCGACAGCTGTACAGAGATGCCCATTTTAAGTAGCAGAGCTACTGCACGCGATTTTCATTGCTGGAAATCTGTTTATCCTTTGTTGACACTTCCGCGTCATTGAGGAGAGCGCTTTGGAAAGTAGGAGAATGCGGCGCGGCTGGCGTTTTCCACGCGTTTTTAGGCGTGACATGTGAACGGCCCCAAAGTCTGTCTACACTGGACGCGACGAAGCGTTGATGAAGCGTTGCCCATCATTTGAACTTTGTGTCAGTACGTCATAAAGAGAACCTGGCATCAGTTTACTGTCGGGGATTTGTCGTGCCACGGCGCATCAAGTGTAGACCGCATCACTGATTATAATGGGTTCATTGAATTTTGTTCAACGCAGATGCACGTGAACACTGATTTCTGTTCACTTCTGATCATCTATTTGTGCCTGTAATACTGTGCTCTGCAAGTATCCTTGTAAACGCAGTTGCTTATGGCTTAGGTGAAGGGAAACATTTGAGAAAGAAAGTGGATGTGTAACAGTATGTATTGGTTTACAGCTGTTTAATATTCCTGAGGCTTTCTGTGTTGTGAATGTTAATCAAACATCAAAACACAAAGAAAAATCACTTTTGTATCTTTAATATAGATTTATTAGATGTCATTTATACCTGTCATTATCACCCAACCTTCTGGGTAGTAACCAAACCGCTGGGTCAAAACAACCTAATTGCTGGGTTTGTCCCTATTTTACCCAGCACTGGGTTGTATTTAACCCAGCATTTTGTAGAGTGTGACTGGTCCAAGGTCACGTATCACAATATGAGTTTTTGCCAATATCGTGCAGCCCTAGTTTGACTGTACGTGTACGCTAGATTATGCATTAAAAAAAAGTATACTTTGAGCTTTAGGGTTAGTATGGATTTCTGTGTCCCACAATGCAATGCACTAATCTTGACTTATTTCCAGTTAATTAGTCATAGAAAAAGTAATGTTAACTGCAGTTTTTAAAATCTCTGTCTTGACTCATTTGATTCCACTGCCATATTTTCACATAGTATTTTTTTTATATAAACTAGGGATGTAATGATTCACTTAACTCACGATGCGATACGATTCACAATATTGATTTCACAATATGATTTTCTTCCGATTTTTTTTATTTTTATTTTTTTTTTTACAATGAGATTAAGGACAAATTATAAATGAAAAGGTGTCCTTTTATTATTTCTCAGACAAAATGCTGTACATTTCTTTGTGAAATTGAAATGTCAAACAAAAAAACTAAACTGAAATTTTAAGACAAATCCCAAATCAAATAAATAACTCAAATAAAAGAAATCTCTTCATATAAACAAAGGCTTTGCCTGTGCTCTTTGCATTTAAAATTAGAGGCAACCACTGCATTTTAATCACAACCCAAACCAAAGATGCTGCATACATGCAGCATGAGCAGTTTTTGATTGAAATTAGATTGTATAATTCTGAAATTTGAAGCAAAAACAGAATGGTCTGACTTTAGCTTCATGAAACTGTACTACATAAAACATATCTGAATGAAACAAAAATAGCGCTTATAGATGCTACTTTAACATGCATTGTGCCCTCTGTTTCAAGAGTTGCTTGGACTTCAAAAAAATACATGTACTGTACTTACATGATTGTAATTCAAAACAGAATTCAAGGAGGCGTTTTCACTTTTCGACAAAGATGGCGATGGCACCATTACCACCAAAGAATTGGGCACAGTGATGCGCTCATTGGGTCAGAACCCCACTGAGGCCGAGCTGCAGGACATGATCAACGAGGTAGACGCTGATGGTAAGACTACAAACACGTAACTTTCCACAGTCCTGCTATCCTTTCTGTTTGATACAATAAGTGCTTTAGTTTAGTCAGGTAAAGTTATGTGGCTTCTTATGTAGCAGCGAAGTACAGTACAGCACCCTCTAGATCAGGGTTGTCCAGTTCTTCTCATTGAGGTCCACAAGGAGGTGTCTTTCTCAGGAGGGTAGATTAACGCTGGCTAGAATCACCCTGTAAGTCCAAAGTGCTCAGATGGTTGGTCTCACCCTCAGTCTGCATGCCCATAGAGAGCCCTCAGACCGTTCACGGACCACCTGATACACATTACACATCAAAATGATGAGCTGTCAGAAAATCCATTCTGATTTGTTGGATGTTTATATCAGTCCACCAGTTAACAAGGTTTTGTTTAGAAGTTAGCTGGCTTCTAGAACGAGCACTTCTCTGGAAGATCTAGACATGAGCTTACAAAAGTTTTCACATTTATTTTAGACTAAAAGTCTACAGCCTCATGCAGATGCACTGGTGGAAGTTTTTTTCATTTCCATTTAATCTTGTGGTAAATGGCAACAACATGGTACTGTCTGTCCACAGGTAACGGAACTATAGACTTCCCAGAGTTTCTAACCATGATGGCAAGGAAAATGAAGGACACGGACAGTGAAGAGGAAATCCGAGAAGCTTTCAGAGTCTTTGACAAGGTGAGGAAATGTCACTGTTAACAGTAGCTGATGAAACCCGATGAAGCACTGAACTGATCCATGAAATTTCAACTTGAAGAATCTTAATAAATGTACAGGGTAGCTGCTTTTGAACACAAGAATGTGTCATTGTAAACAGCATCTTCTCAGAGTCAGGTGAACCCTAAACCAGCTGAAATATACAAGGCTTCCTTGAAAACGAACAGTCAACTAGTCATCCAGGCAACCCACTGACTAGCTGATATTGAAACCATGCAGCTGCTAGCGTGTTAAGTGTTTACGTAAGAACTGCGCAGGTGTGTTTTCCAGACAGTGGGTGAGATTATTCACCATGTGGGCACAGGCTGCATCAGGCCGTTGGCATAAGAGAGTGCTTGAAACGGCTTCAGTTGATTTTGGGTTCTCTTGATTGCTTCTCCACATGATTTGAACTTGGGATGGCCATCTTATAGCCAGATACTTGAACACCAAACACCTAATCAAATAAAATAAGTCAGTATAAATATAAAATAAATCAGTATAACATAAATCAAATCACATTTTTGTTTCATGTGTCCTTATTCAGAAAAACGAGATGAAAGTCGACTTAAGGCTTCAAGCAAAATCGAATGAAACATAGCAAACAGGTGTAAACACATTTTTAAAAAATCGTAGCAAATCAAAGTAGGGTCCTTGGATTTCCACGATGTAGAAAATGCTGAAAGAATCATGGAATCCAGTCATAAAAATGGAATTGACAGTATAACGTGGAATGTCACTAAATTTGTACAATTTTGGATGAATAAATCAAAGTAGGTCAGTACACTTAAATTGTGAAGTGAACTAGTGTCTGTGGTTATTAAACCAGAAAAAGACCATGTAAATATGAATCCTGCATGTTCTGTGTGTCTCTGTGTGAACGAATGGCGCTGAGGCGTGTGAAGCACGTGTGACGTGCGCGGTGATTTTAGCTTCTGTCGCATCACTAAATGAGGACATAAACACATGAACAACATCCCCAGAACTGCTCTGAGAGTCACGTCATGAGCATTTTTTTGTTTTGTTTGAGAAAAACTATCGTCATATCACATAAACACAGAAACTTAGGTCCTCATGGCAACCCGTCAAAATAAAAGTTTGGTTTAACTTGGAAAAAAATTGTCACACAATAGCAGGAAAAGAAGAGGCTCAAATGTGCGTGTGTGATGCGTGAGAAAAAGTGAGGTCTGTTCTAGCTCTTCACACACGTTTGAGCTTCCGTATTCAGTGTATTTGATGCTCACTTTTGTAACAATCACTCAGTAATTTATCGTTTACTTTTAACTGCCTTCGGAGACGTTGTTATAATGCGTTGCTATGGGTTGAGTCTTGATTTGGATTTGACTGACAGACTGGCATTCTGACAGCGCAATCTTCATGCTTTCTAACCAGGGATTGAAATGAACTTTTTCACTAACCAGTAGGGGTGTGCGATATATATATCGTCGGCGATAATATCGTAATTGTTGTTTTAACGATGTGCGATTTGACATTATCGAGTATTTTGCAAAAACCATTCAAAACATCCCTACAGAGCGCACACATACATTACGTGAAGTCTAGACTAGTGCGTGTGCGCATTTAGAGTGCGTTCTTTCACTGCATGATTCAGTCTATTAAAATCCATTTAGAATGATCACAAATTCAAGACATGATAGCAGAAAATGTATACATTTATACCGCTTCATATAGTTATTCAATTTCACACGAAGAGTGCCGTTTTTCTCCAAAAATTACCATGATTACAAATGTGACATTGAATTCAATAAACAATAAGTTCATTAAGAAACTTACGTTTTAAACACCATATTGCTTGTTTTTTCTCTATTTCACCAACAAAAATCATTCCGAATACAGCCACAGCGCTGTTTTGTGTCTCTGAGCAACATGACGGTGTTTCGTTCCTGAATGAATCAACCATTTAAATGATTCGGTTCAATCGCAATGACTCACTTATTAACAGTGACTTGCTGCCACCTACTGGCGGATTTAATTTCATATTCAATGTATCTTTTATTATTTAAATAATTGTAAATATCAGTATTCAACATTTCATGTTTAATATATCAAAACATTATTTATGCATTTGTAATTGCAGGTTAAATGCATTCATGTCTTGCATTAAACAAAATACATGTGTGTAAATACATCTAAATGCCACTTCAGATGCAGCTTCTGTGTTGATTGAATTTGCTTGGTAACAGCTCAAATGTCTTATTATTCTAATTCCCTGATTGAATGTAAGAATTTGACTCAAAAGATAATGGACACTTTTAGAAAAAATAAATGCCCATAAAATGCAAAAATCAGTTTAAACTTATTGGAAAAGATTAATTTCTATCAGTATGAACTGACCACCACACAGAATATGACGAATATTAAAAACATTAGGAGTCAGCTGTCTTCGGCAGTCCTTGAGGTACCAGCACAATAACACACTCCACAAAATATCGTCTAATTATCATTATCGATAAAATCCCATAAAATATCGAGAATTTTTTGTCAGTATCGCACACCCCTACTAACCAGCCAATTTGGCTACAATTTTTTTTAATTACCGGCCATTCATAATTTCTACTAGCCAAAAAAAAACAAAAAACACTGGGCGTGACAAAGCGACCGTTGCAAATAATTTTGTCAGTACTAGGGGTGTGCGATATTGACAAAAAATTATATTTCGATATTTTATGGGATTTTATCGGTAACGATAATTAGACGATATTTTGCGGAACTCCTGAAGTTTTTGATATTCTTCATATTCTGTGTGGTCAGTTCACAGCAGTGATCGAAATTAATCTTTTCCAATAAGTTTAAATTGATTTTTACCTTTTATGGGCATTTTTACCTTTATAAAGCCATTTTTTTCTAAAAGTGTACATCATCTTTTGAGTCAAATTCTTACATTTAATCAGTCAATTATAATAATACATTTAGGCTGTTACTAAACAAATGAAATCAGTATCGATAAAATTCATCTTTGCAGAAGTTGCATATGAAGTGGCTTTTAGATATTTAAACATGTCAATGCAGCTTAAAGAGACATAGAATGCTTTAACCTGCAGTTACAAATGCATAAATAATGTTTTGATATTTTAAACATGAAATGTTGAATACTGATATTTGAAATTATTTAAAAAATGAAAAGTGACTTTAAATGTGAAATTAAAACCACCAGGAGGTGGCAGCAAGTCACTGTTAAGTGAGTCATTGTGATTGAATTGTATATGAAGTGATATAAATATTAGGGCTACCACTAACGACTATTTTTATTTTGATTAATCTATCGACTAATTTATTGATTAATCGATTAATCTAAACGATTAATTTGACACAAAAAAAATCTACAATTTTACTTAAGAATATTTTATTAAACTATTTTATTAAACCAAATGAAATCCAAATTTCTATGAAATCCTTTTTTTAAAGCAAAAGTAAAGTGCAACATAAAGTGCAAGAATCAAGTGTCCATCTCATAGTCCAAATTACTGAAATCAAAGTTCAGTATTATAGTGTAAGAATCAGTGGCGGCTCGTCGGGGGAGGCAGGGGAGGCACAGCTTCCCGATAATTTTGAGGTGAAGATGGGAGGAGGATTATTTAATGTTAATAAAATTCACAATTCATTTCAGTTCATGTCTCAGAATGTGTATTTTTTTGTTTGTAATTTCACCGTTGTAATACCATAACGTGAAAGCGCCGCTTTTCTTTCGCGAATGTGCCAATTCTGCTGATGTAATTACAACCGCTAGGTGATAGAGAAGGGTAGGGGGAGGCCAGGGGAGCACTGAGCTCTCGTGCCTCCGTTGGTAAAAAACATTAGCCAATCAGCATCGAGTGTTCACTTTCAGCGCTGAGGAGTGTTGCGAAAAGAACCCAATCATCAACACATCAACCAATCATCATAGAGACGTAAATTACGTGATATTGGTTTGAACATCTCCCGCTGCGCTGATAATGTACCAAGTACTTATGATGAGTAGCGGTGTTGAATATTTGATCGCCAACAGATTTACCAAGCTGTCATTCAAACAGTATATATACAAATTTAGGGAAAACAGCCTAAGCTGGATATAGGCTACAGCAGTCGGTTTAATTAAATGGCGCAACAGGCAGCTCTCTTAACACAGACTTTTAAGAAGGGATGGATGTTTGCTTCTAGTGATAGGCCAGGTAAGTGAAGTTATATTATCTTGCTGTATGTATGTCGTTGTCTTTATGTTTTCTGACTAAAAGCAACCAAAAAGCCATTTTAAAGTGGTTAAGCAAATTATAATAATAATAATCGGCAGGGATCCCAGACCAATACAATTAGTGTGCCTCCTCTATTTTAAAACCCACGAGCCGCCACTGGTAAGAATGACAACATATCCACGTCTTCTAGTCTACTAATAGTAAAATTATAATCAAAAAACACTTTTTAAAGGACTATTTACCAGAAATGTTATTTACCAGAATTTATTTAGGAGAAAAATGTAAATGTGCAGTATTTATGAAAAAAAAAAGAATTTTTTTTTTTTTTTTTTTTTTTTTTTTTTTTTTAAAAAAATAAATTAATTGGAGATTTTTTT